TATTTTACTTTATTTATTATAGACACGATTAATGCAAGTCATTCAGTATGACTTCGTGTGTTTTATACATAGCAATCGTACATGTATTTATTTTACCTTCACATTGTCTTTCTAAGAACATTGCTATTTTTTTCCGACTGCCAAGGAGGGGTTATGTGTTTCGCGCGTGTATATGTTCATATGTATGTAATATTCTTTATTCCCTCATATCATAAAAATCCCTGGACGGATTTAAATGATTGAAGTATCGTTAGATTTGTCGTAGTAGCCCAATAGTTTTAGATACGTAACGTTAAAAAAATCCAACATGACGGCTGTGCGACGTCATTATATTTAATGACAATATGGGCATCAAATTAAAGGGCTTAATACTAGCATTCCAAAAAGGTATACCATGATTAACATTACCTAATACTAATAAGAATAATACAATCAGAAAGTTTAAAAATATGGCCTTTATTTTTTCACTTTCTGAACCAACCTGGAAATTTGTGTAATTAAAAAGACATAAATAAAAAAAAATACAAAAAGTCCGCCTGCGTAAAAAACAACTAGGCATGCAGAAACTGATTTGTCTTATCAATTTCATGCCTCAGACTGCATGTTACCTATGTATTATGTTGTATAATTTTTTATCTTGTTCCAACCTCTTTTTTTCATAGTTTTGAATCTAATATTTATTTCTAAGTTTAACATTTATAATGCAAACAGGTAAAATATAACAATTAATGAGTTTTCAATGTGTACTGAAAACTGTTTACCAACAATTACACGGTTAAGTCATCTTATTTTTTTTTCAAGTCAAGCGGATCAGTAGGTTTTTAAGTAAAAGAAAAATGCATTAGAGTAGCAAAAAAGTCTTTGTGTCGAGAATGGTTATAAGCAACTTTAAGTTGCAAATCATCGTTATTTGAGAATTCACACCTACATCAGGAGTTGTTACAACTCATTTTTAGTCATCTTATTTCTTTTACGGGCGATTTCTGAATTAAGAAAAGTATAGAATCTCAACTAATTACTATACTTTTTTACTTAAATGTCTTCAGCGGGTTCCATCTCACATTGGATTAACTGGAAACGAAGAGGCTGACAGGTTAGCGAAAGTAGCCTCTACAGATGGAAATTTATTAAATATTCCTCAATTTTATACAGAATTACTACCAAAATATAAGAAATATATTTAGGACAACTGGAAGCAATACTTTGATGAACGCTCAACATCCAAAGGTATTTGGTAAAACTATCCAGTATGAGCCTCTTGGAATACCATGGTTCAGTAACTGTAATTTAAGCAGATATGATATTATATTCATGCTTAGACTTAGATCTGAACACTATCCGACTAACAATTTTGGTTTCTTAATGAAAAAAACAGATTCCCCTAATTGTGATACTTGTGGAACAATTGAGGACGTTCAACACTTGTTGTTGGAGTGTCACAGAAACACTGAAGACTACTCTAAAATTAAGCCAACTTGATTTAGGCATTTTCCAAAGTTTACTGAGTGAACCATTGGCAAACACAGCAAAACTTATATGCAACATGGTAAGTCATCGATGATTGTTGATCTCTCAACTATTATTTTAGAGCTGTAGATAATGTATATTTAGGATACGATAGGACTGGCATATCATAACAATATAAAAAAAAAACAGAAATAAAGAGCTTTTTTATTTTGCACAAGGCAAAAGTCCTTGTTTTAACCAAACTGCTATAAACTGATCATTAAAAAAAACTAAAATCTGAAACGGAAACCTGTTTAAGTGACTTTTAAGCACAGTTTGAGTCGTGCTTAACTTTAAATACTCAATCAGAAACCAGGTGTTAGTATACAATATAACATACCAGGACAGCGAAATTTATATAATGACAGCAACTCATATTATTAGACTATACAATAGTCTTGAAGTATATGTAATTACTTATTAGAATATCTTTTAGTATTTACGATTAAATTTGCTTCTGTTACAAGATATTTTCACAGGATGCAAGCGTTGGTTTCAACGAGTAAATATATTATATAGCCACCGTTCCGGTTCCTTTACATGACTAAGCCTGATTGAATACGGAACCTGTAAAGGATACAAAAGTTCCGAAAAATCTAATTATTTTTCAAAAATACACGCGATAAAACAGGTCAAATGTAGTTTTCAAGCATGCGATATTTTGACGTAACTAAAAAAAAGACTAGTAACTAGTGTCACAATAAACACTCTGCCTCCTGTACCGGTACAATAGAGACGCAGCCCGCATGAGCCCTGTGGGAGTTCAGTCCTGTATAGCCGTCCGCCTCATTAAATTTTGTTTGAATAGAGGGATGAACCAGTATGTACTTGGTCAGACATGTAAGGACAGCAAAACAGTCGCATCGAACTTTATTTGTCTTTGATCGAACTTTATGTATTGTAATTTATTTTTCCGGTGATTGAGCACGAGTTTTATGGTTGGACTCGGCCATTAAGTCTTATACTAACCCAGAATAATATGCTACAAACAACAACATTTATAGTCAACAACATGTTGTGAACTAAGGAATATTTTGGTAACACGATTTCTACAAGTTATTATTCGAGATTAAATTAATAGCGACTCTATGTGCTCTATGATAAATATAAAGTCAGATTTAATTCACGAGGTAGCCATGTGGGTGGTGTCAGGTTCGTCACTCATCTCTAGATATTATAGAAACTAAAAATTTGCTAACGTCGTTTATAATTTATAATTATAAATTTAAACGAAACAAACCGAACGCTGAAAAGTAGTGATTTTATACTCGTATAACCACCTAACCGTACCGTGTAATACGAGTATCGGCTGAATAGTTCGAGACGGGGCGCTCCCTACGCCACAAACATCACCGCTCCATCATCGCGCCCATCTCGCAAGTAAACACCGCCATTCACTCACATTGACAAATGACACACTTGCCCTATACCATAGAGTATAGAGCAAGATGACTTTTCCAGTCAAAACGAGTGTCACTGTTAGTTTTTCCACATCTAAAGACCTGCTATTTATGAAAATGTAATGTAACTAAACCGTATTCTCGCTACTCAACAAACAGAATAGGCCCTCTGGATCAAAGAGTAAAGTATTATTCAGGATCTCAGGATCAGTCGTTATGACTTGAGATTATGATATAAAACTTAAGTATATAAAGATGTAGCAAATACATTTACCAATGTTTTTAAGAACAGATCCTCTTTTGCAATCTACAAATATTAAAGAAGAATTTTCCTGCTATTCTTTATATTTTATTCATATAAACATATTTAGCAAAGCTCTAGTTATTTCAGTATATTAGTTATATCTAAGCTTCGCCCTTTCACTTGCTCTCATCCCATTCAACTCACGCCCCCGTCACAAAGGGACCCGACTCTGGAGAAGTCTCATAGACGTCTTATATTATGCGATTGAGTTTATGATAACTACTCATAAATGACAATCATTTACTCGCATTAACATGTTCTGAAGAATAACAAAGCTTTCATATAAAAGAAGATTAGTGAAAAACAAAACAAATCATCAAAGGTTTTGGCTCTTTATTTATAACTTCTTCTGTGGGTGCTATCCGCTAAAGCAGTTTGGCAATTATTACAGCTATTTCCACATTCGATAGAAATGTTTTAATAACAGCTACGATTAAGCCAAACACTCTTCTCCTAATACTTCTTATACCTATAATATATAAAAAAATACCAGCTCAGTTAGATAATTAAAATCATAAAACAAAATTCTGTCTGTCTGCATATACAATATTGTGCTACTTTGTGTGAAAACAAATAAATTATATTATTAATAATAATAGGATAACTTCAAACAGATTTACACCTATACAATACACGAAATTCATGAGTTGAAAGAATTCAGCTATGAAATATTATTTACATTGAAATAAACATAGATATTCTGATTTAAGACATGATTCTATTATCAAACTAAAATTCGAGATTTTCATGAACAAAGAGAGACATACACATTCGTTCTTTTTTTTACATTTTCAGAGAAAAAGAAAACTTAAAAACGTATTTTTCAATCATTTATGATTCAACGGAAAGCCTCTGATGCGGATATATTTTGGTGGCTTATTCCCAACTCCATTGAAAGAGTCATTCACAAAGATTTTTTCAAACAGAGTCGATTACCTATTTGAATATTATCATAGAAATAGTATTCTTTGGAAATCATGATATTCAGATCCTAAATTGACTTTCATTTAGGTATCAAGTGATTGTCTTGGAACGAAGCGTAAACGTACATCGTGCAAATGGCTTTGCTGACTGTCGAAGCTCAGCAGGCATTGAAATGCTTTCAATACAGCGCGCTATGTCGGCGGAGCAGCGAGCACAATGCATGCCAATCTACGCAGGAATTTGGCTTGGATGCCGCTACGTCGACACTGGGCTACGAATGTATGAACTCGGACAGTATAATTCGCACATTCTAGACTTTTAGCATTTGATTTCTCAATATTAGACTTATTATTTTGCAAGGTAACTAATGTAACGTAATCGCAACAACTCGCTACATGTGACAAGTGCCTTATCTCTAGAAAGGGTGGATGATTTTTTTTATCTGGGCACTAACATCAACAACAGAGGTTCTTGCGAAAAGGAAGTCAGAAAGAGAATCGGCATGGTCAAAAATATAATGTCCCAGTTTCAGAGAATATGTAAAGACCACAACATATCTCGAAAAACAAAAATGAGACTGGTAAACTCTTTAGTGTTCTCTATCTTTAGCTTCGGTTCAGAGACGTGGATGCTTGGAAAGGCAGATCGAAACCGTATTACCACCTTCAAGATGTAGTTTTGGCGGAAGATGCTACAGATTATAAACCAATCTATCCTTCGCGAGCTTAACATCAAGGATAGGCTTTCCACTATCTACTTGCAAAGAATTCTGGATTGCTTTATTTATATTGCTCTCAGGGACGGACACAATCTTGAGCAACTAATGGATACTGACAAGGTGGATGGGAATGACACATCCCTACGAGATGGGCGTACCAGATTCGGGATACACCCGTACAAAACATGACGCTCTCCGTATTACCAAGGACCGGAGCAGATGGAGAAAACTCGTAAGCGAAAGACTTTATTTCCGCCGAGGGTATCATGACCCTCAGCAATGAGGAAAACGACTTGGAAAGAAGGAGGGATCTAATGTGATGTGTGAATTTGACTTATGATAAGTCCTAAGAAAAGTATTTTCGGGTCAGATCCATAGTATTTTTTTCTAATATGATCTGAAATGTAACGTAAACAAAAAATCTAATGGATTTGCCAATAACTGTGGGGTCTCAATATTAACATTTTATTTTAAATGCATAAAACTGATTATGGAGCCATTTTTGAATATAATATTTGCCAAATTATTAATACGTATGGGGATTCCCAATAACTTTATTCTGAGAAGCATTCAATGTTTTCTATATTTTTTTATGAAATATAATTTGAAGTTACTAATGTTGTGAGATTTATCATCAAAATCATGTTTATTTAATAGATATTTATTAGTAGTTCTATAGGGTACAGTTTCTTTGATCTTCGGAAATACTATAGATATTTATTAGTAGTTCTATAGGTATTTCTATAGGTATATATAGATATTTATTAGTAGTTCTATAGGGTACAGTTTCTTTGATCTTCGGAAATACTGATTCGATCATGAAAATTAATAAGCTTCGGGAAGCTACATCATACGCTGGTAACACAGACTATTATTTACAAGGGTGAAGTCACTGTATGATAACTAATTGTTTAAAAAAAAAATTGAACGATACGAACGATTTTAATAATGACTGTATTTCTGTACTTGTAGTCTTGTCACCAAGAAACTGATTCATACCTATTATTTGAAAATGAAACGCATTCGAACCGTAGTGATGATAAACAGATTGAGGGGAAATAGTATTTAACTGTTCAGTATTCGAGTCAGTTTTCAGCGTACGTGTTGCATTCAATTCCACAACGCGAACCCAATTTTAACCAAACGCAATGAAATCTTTCCCCACGCCATATTTAAACATTATCATGTCGAATACATTTAAAACAGCAGCGCTTATTAATGAATGTAGATATTTATATTAAATTTATATTGGTTTTGGGCAGCAAATTGAAAAGGCTAACGCCTTTTCGTATATTGAGTAATTATTTTGCTTGCTGATGCGTTGCGAACGATGCACAACCCCATTATATTAACATTACAGCAGTGATTTTCATAATGATGTTATTTTGTACTAGTACTGTAGCTACACGATATTGATAACTCGCGTCTGAAATTTAGTTTGACGTTGCAAGCGACGAAATTAGCTAGGATCGATCGCGACTAGCAAACACTATGCAAATCTAATTCAAATGGGTCTCCGATATAAGCTAAAATCATAATAGCTTCGAGCTTGACAAATTTGATTTTATCTATATTGATAAGCACTTTTTGTTCGCAATTGGGATTTCTCATAAATAGTTGTTATCTTACATGTTCGTCGTAAGGTATGCTGATTACCATTATCATATTTTGAACTGAGATCAAGAAATTGTTGGTTAACAATTTTACGTGCGGTTTGTTTTCTATTTGACTTCTAAGTCGCACATTATTATAAATATAAAAGTTTCTTTGTTTAGATGTTTGTCTGACAAACACCGAAACTACTGTTTAGCTAACCTTATCTTTTTATTTTTTCAGGTGCAGATACAAAGCACACGTATCGATCAAAATGCGAGTGCGCCTGCATCGTTGTTGCTGACAGTACCGTTTATGCAGTTGAAAACAACCATGGACCATCGGATCTTAGCAATATTGGCGGTTATCGCCTATTTCAGTTAGTATACATTTGTTTCTACATAATCGATATAGTTTTACCTCAGATACATATAATTTTATCCGTAATACCCGTATCTTAATAGCCAAAATCACTAACTTCAACTGATTTTGGACAATAAATGACGTCGTAAATGAAACAACTTAATAAAGCTTTATGGGTATTGGTGAAAAAAATATTAAAAATCAGTCCAGCAGTTTTTAATTTTATCTACTACAAACGAACAAAAAACAATAAGTCAAATATTTTCTAAACTTTTATCAAAATTGCGATCCTGTTAATAAATCCATTTAAAGCGAAATGAATCGTGTAAAGTAATTGGCAGTAAAAAATAAACAGATCAAAGAAAGGGCGAGGTGTGTTAACTATCTTAGGTGGACTATCTCAGACCACTTGGTGTCAAATGGCCTGGAAGTAACGGGGATATAGAGACACGACCCGCCTGAATTTGTTACCCACTTTCCAATTCAAGAGAGCAATGTAAATTCCATTTTGCTACTGGTTTTATAGGAGAACTTTGAACGCAATTCTGTTCACTACACTCGTGTGATTCAATGTAAATATATTTCATACTATTCATAATAAACTACACATTGTGTCTAACAATTCTATCACGTAGTGTTTAAATAAAGTTGAACTCGTATACCTTTTCGACATTAGTGAATTCTTTATTTCTACGAGTGACTGTTCTGTCTTTCGATCCAAACACTGAGTCTACTTATGTTACCTACTTTAATCATAAATTCACAATTATTTATTTTCTAACCACCTTCAAGGAGGGACGAAGTTCTTAGTTCGACGAATATGTAATTTTTATGTGTATCTTCATCGATTTCTCCGCAAACACCGGTTTTGTTATTATAACAAAATAATTTTAGACTTCTGCCAAATAACTAAAATAATTACATGACGCATTCATTTCATCGAAGAAAACGAAGGATACATATTTTGCTTTCCTATGATTTTTGTAAATTTGTGAATTTTCAACACACTTCGAAGACGTAAATATGTATACAAGTAATAACAAATAATTAGAATTCTATTAAAATGGGATGATTAATATAATAACATCACATCACATCACCAGCCCTTTTACGTCCCCACTGCAGGGGCTCAGGCCTATGGATGGTTAAGGAGGATGGGCCATGACCCTCCACGCTCGCCCAATGCGGATTGGACGGTATTAACGACTGCAAATGCAGCCGAGACCAACGGCTTAACGTACCTTCCGAAGCACGGAGTAACTCGAGATAATAATTTTTGGTCACCCATCTCATGACCGACCCTTGCGAAAGTTGCTTAACGACTACGTTCGCGGGCCGCGGCGCTTATCCACTACGCCACCGAGCTACTCAATTCTCAATATAATAAACCTACTCAAAATCTCCATCTAACTTCAATAGAATCGAAACAAAATATTTGGAAACAAAGAAGTTAACTTCAAACAAAAAATATGTAGGAAACACCTTTATAATTTTTATTACCCACGGATTTTCCCTATATTGACCGCAAAAGATCCTATTCTTTCCAATGAGGAGATAACTTCAACTATCTGCAGTCCTATGACTGCAGACTTCAACTATCTGCAGTCATAGGACTCAGTCATAGGACTCATCTGCAGTCATAGGACTGCAGATAGTTGAAGTTATCTCCTCATTGGATTGCTCATTGGAATGCCTCCTATTAGGCATTAACACAAATCCGATTCTGTGTCTACAGTCTCTTAGACGTTAAATACGTAATGTATTTAGCTGCTGATGAAATAAATATAAATTTAACCATTGCCAATAAAGTTTATGACAACAGTTTTTAAGGAACTTTATCACAGATCATTTGCCAACAAATGTTACTGAAGTAACATCGTTACTGAGTTTTCGTCTTTATCGGGACATTTCAGCGCGAGCACTTTGCATAAAAGTGTCGTATCTGAACTCAATGTAGAAATATATTATATGTTTTATGCGAAATCCCGACGAGATTTACTTATTGAGTTTGGGGGTAATGGCTTTAATAAACAGATGGGGTTCTTGGCTCTTGTGTATCAAAGTTTATACTGGAATCGGTGCTATGTCCACGATATTCTTAGTTAGATAAAATACGTAATTCAACATCTTCAAGTCATTCAATTTCACTAAGGTATTTCTTCATAATTTCGATGCTTTCTAAGTAATTTTCATAAAACTGACACCTATTTTCAAAGTTCAGAGCTTGATCCTCAGTGGAGAACTATTTTCCAGTTTGCATTTCTATTTCTTCATGCAATCAAAATCAGGTGCTTGTCTTCGTTGTTCACTGTAATTAATTATATTTCTTTATATACGGAACATTTGCGATAGATACTTAAAATAAAAAATTATGTGTAATACTGTCATTTGTCTCAGATTATCCAATATTTATTTTTGTTAATGCGATAAAGAAGGACTTACAAAATAATCTGAAATTACACAAACAAATATTATAATATACTCACAAAAACTAAACTAATATAAAATTAAACTAATTTTATAGCTATTTTCATAACATACTTTACTATCATAGGAATTTTCAATAGAAGAAATAAAATGCAGAAAACATTTAACAACAGATAAAAGTCGCAATCATACCACTCTTAGAAAATAATCTATGGAACTTTGGTATTCAATAATGCATTCAATAGTCTAATAACTTCAATCTTATTACGTATAATTATTTTGTGTTAATTTTTAGGTAGTGAAGTATCCACCGAAGGACCAGTCTACGCTGGCGGTCAACCACCTGCAGCCAGTGCGCCTACTAATAATTTTATCACACAGACAGTATATGGCTTCTTAGACTTTACTACCACCATAGGGAATACCGTCATGGTATTCTCCCCCCATTCTGCCCCACCACCAGGTCTAATAATGCTAACTATTTTTAAATATCTTAGAAATCAATTCTATAATTAACAAAGAGGTTTTTATTATATTAACATTCATGAAATTTTACCTTATTTATTTTTAAAAATCCTAATATTTTACTAATATTTACTCAAGAGATTTGTTTTCGTAATTTCAGAACCACCGAAAAATGAAAAATCTGTTCAAGAAAACATTATTGAAACTAAGCCACCATCGCCATCTGTTACAAGCGTTAAACCAGAAGCCATTAAACCTAGCAAAATTTCTGACAAAAATAAAACTAATAAACCCTCTGGCCCTGCAGTAATATCAAGCGCGATATCTGTTATGTCATCACCACAGAAAAAGGATGAAAAAACTGCAAACATACCAAAATCTGTATCTGTAAAGGAGCAAAAACAAATAATTACAAAAGTTGAAGTTGTGGCTGGACCATCTAAAATTGTAGGGAGTAGTTCTCCGAAATCAACTTCTTCAAAGCCAAGCAAATCAAGTAAACCCAATAATCCAAATGATAAAAAACACAAATCAGAAGCCATAAAAAGTGTCACCAATGTAGTTAGTAGCAAAGTTGAAGTTAAACAAGACCCACCGGCCTCTATTATAAATTCTAAAGTTAGTAGCGTAGTGCAAATTAAATCAAACCAGCCTAAAGAAGAGCCTGCCATTTTAATTACCAATAACAATATTGGGGAACCAGAATATGATTTCTTGTCACGACAACCCTCCGAATTCGTTGAAGAAACATATAAAGTTATTAATATACGACCTTCAAAAACTCATCCACAAAAACCGAAACATAAAAATCGTATTCACCCACCTACTCCACAACCAGAAGACGAAGATCATCCTTTAGGCCTCGTCACGACTCTTGGTGGTACTATAGTAAAAGACGGTCTTACTACAATACATGAAACTAGTGTGATAGGAACATATATATCGGGAAAGTATGCGCAAGTTTTAAACAGTAACTCCAAAATCCTTCAAGCAGGTCATCGCAATAAGATTTCACCTACTCCTACACATAGAATTTTGAAGACTCCGGCTCCTGGCTTAAAGAATCATAGACACAATTTAGAACCCACTCCATCAATCAATGATGAAGAGCATCATGGAAAAACTACACGCCGACAAACAAATAATGGTAGTTCTTTCAAAAATCGTCACAGAGTACAAAATAATTCGGAAAACGACAACCACGCTAATATCCAACCCACACAAAACAAAAAGTTTAAAAACCGGAACTCAGCTAATTCTCAAAGGACTCAAAGGTATCTTTTTAGAAATTAATTATTTTGTATTGTAATTTTTTATTGCCGACAACCTAACCACCTAATGCTTAAACATAATCATTTTTCAGTAGTTTGTTGTATGTAGTTAACATTACTAAAGAAAAATAAAGTTCGGTTTGTCGACAATAGTTATTTTTATTTTCAGTACTCGTTATGGCCGACCTGCAAACCCCGCTCAACTGGCAACCGTCTCTGTTTTCAGTGAATCATCATCGTCTTCATTCACCAACCGAAGAAAAAATAACCGCAACTCGGGGCATAAAACTACTGTCAGTCAATCGAGTAACGAAAACCAAACGAAACGTGGATTTAAACCACGTGTACAAGCTACTCCAGTCGAGCAAGTAACGCCAGCAGCATCAACTAGTGTCTATAAATTTAAACTGAATCGCTCGCCAGGCTCAGGCCGCTGGCAATATAAGACAAGTCCGAAACCTAAAGTCACTATACGAAAGATGAGTGGAGGTGACGATGAACAGACAACTCCGAATCCGAATCCTTTCATTGATGATCTGCAAGGGAATGATTTATCTCCTCAAGCTAGATCAGACAACGACCTCGAACTCTCTGGATCTCAAAGCGGGCTAGGCACCCTTCTTGAAAACGATACCGATGACAACTCTATAGAGAAACCCCCGCCTGTAGAAACTCTGAAAGTTGAAATATCTACTCCTGCTGATTTTCGAGATGTTTACTATGAAATTGCCACCATTAAATCTCCTTACACTTTTCAGGTTAGTATTATAGCATAAACTAAGGTAAACGCAGGTATTACCGCGGTAGTCGAAAATCTGCTGGTTTCATCGAGGTATATGATATAATTGTAGTTTTAGGCAATTGCAGGCATATTTTACTCAAAAAGTTAAACTTTTATGAAAGATCAATTTATATTCGTTTGAATGGATCTGTAGCACACTATGCACAACAAATCAGAAAAACAAAAAACGATTAATTTGCGTCCAGCCGGTGCCAAAGCATGACGTCCATATAAGTGCACTCAATATTTTGCTAAAGATTAAAGAGTCTAAAAGAAACCATACATACAGATTCAAACTAGGTCACAAGGTGGATTATAGTTACAGCAATTATTATAATTATTTAATTTATCTTTATATTGCATTATTTTTCAACAATAAATAAAAATAAAATACCGTGGTGATAACTACACAATTATCTTCTTGATTTATTGATCGCGATATACTCGGTAATAGCATAAATGAATACTAACGGTTTTATTATTTTTTTTTATCTATATAAAAGCAATACAGATGGTTTGGTAATTCGTTCAGATAATTATTGTAAAAACAGTTTCCGCGGTATAAAAATTGCGATAGAACTTTTATTTTGTTGTCCTAAATGAAACCATGAAAAATTAACTTTGTATGAGAGCACTAAATTAATACGACATGGAACCATAACCCAGTCTGTATTTTAAACCTAAATACTTAATCCAAAAATCTTGTTTATGTTTAGGTAACTTTATTAGTCATCGTTTAAACTTTTGTATAGTTAAAAGTTAATCAAATTTTATCCCTTGGAATTACATTATTTACACTATGGCGGATGAAGCTATCACCGATGGTGAAAACAAGCTATCAATCGGTAATACCTATTTTTTTACTTTACGTATTTCCTCAAAAACTATCTACATATTTATAGATTCCAAAAGTTCAAACCCGTACGAAAATATATACTAGTATCGTTTTTACGATCGGAAATTCCTATTTCGAAGGTTTAAACCTTAACGCCTTGATTTTACCTCGTTAATACCTGAGTTTACCTGATATATCTTTATTTTTATGTAATTGAGCTTTATTCTATCCTTCTTAATTCCAGGTGGGACGTGTCAAAAACACTCGTATCATCACGGTGACATCAACAATAGAAAAACGTATTGAACCAACACTTATATCTAATTCGCAAAGTTCTCTCAACGAGCCGTTGACAGAAAACATATTAGCGACAGCCTCCCCTTACGGAAAAGATCATAACTTAGATTCAAGTATTGCTACACTACCCGCCATAACCTTATCATCCGATATGGAAACTCCGCCTTTAGAAACAGTCACTGAAACATTCAGCACCACACAAAATATGTTAAAAACTCACATATTACCAGTCGTAAGAGATGCTAATTTAACCAGTAGTTTAACTTTCATACAGACATATCAAGTAACAAGATTTGTGACTGCTACCAAAACACTTCCACCAATGGACTTCTTCCAATTTATTCCAAGTAAAACATTAAAGGAATTCAACAGTCGCCTTGATGAAGCAGGATCTGAACTCCATTTGGAATTAGATTTCGGTGACAGCAACGAAGATGAAGATGGGGTTCCACGACGAGTATTCCCACCCGATTTGGATTTAGCAAACATCGGCTCTGATTTTGACTTAGCTGAAGTAGACAAATATGGTGTTCCAGACAACCATTTAAGACTCAAGAAAGCGCACGGTCAAAACAAAAATAATCAAGTAACAGAGCCACCTTCACCAGTAACTCCAGCGCTCACTCCAGAACAAGCTCAACAGCTCGCACTGTTAAGATTGCTAAATCCGGCTGCAGCAGCTCAAATTCCTAACGTTGTAACGACATCAAAACCAGTGCTTAAATACGAGACACTATATGAATCACATGTCATTCCTCTATTTGATGGCAAAAATACAATACAGAGCACCATATCTCGACCTGTAGCAACAATTACTAAAACAGAGTATGAAATTGGAACTAGTAGTCTGCCTGCTCTGCCGTTACAACCTCTTAATCCACTTTATCCTCAACAGCAATTCACCGTCACGTCGACACCCGTCGTTATGAATACAGAAGTAACTGCGACTGATAGCCAAATTCTAAAACTGACTTTTGGTGCTAAAACGGTATACACTACTTTGTTCACGACTAAAGTCGTGCCAACAATACTCACATCATATGTCACATCCTCTATTCCGATACAAGCTAGTGCAGGTTTCCCAGGATACTTCCCAGCGCCATTTGCACCATTCCCCTATGTAGGTTAAATAAAATAGTATTCGAAGTTTGAATTAGTGAAATGTGAAATCGAAATGTAACTCATGAATGTTACATAAACTTAAACTGTTCAATGTGAATGTGGTATTGTAGTGTAGTGATAAACTATATTATGGGTGAGTTGTAAACTGTGAAAAGCAGCGAATGTTAGAATTTATAGCTTTTGTGGAAAACATGAAAACTCTAACCTTGTATTTTCTTCTGAAGTTTTCCGAGCTAAGAACGCTGTGTGTTTCTGATGCTCGTCGCGTAAATTGGAAATCTTGCTGACGGCAAATAAATGTAACAATTTGTATACAGCCATTTTCTTTGTAATCAGTAAAATGCTTTGTAAATAAATTTATTTATAAATAGTTTTTTGTGTATATAGAAAAATGATATGAATATTTTGTATTTGTTTAGTTTAAAGTTATTTAGGTTAATATTGTAAAAATGGCAAAGAAACATTATTTTGTATATTGAAAATTGTTTAACAGTTTTAATATACATGTATTTACAGTTTAATTAAACGGGGATTTGTACATACATTACAAATGAAGAATAGATTATCGGTGTATTTATTACCCTCCCACTTATATTAGTGAAATTTTACATAGGTACCTACTTTCTTCATTTACTTATTTAATGATTCTGTCAATTCAAAGTCCAATAGGTATAAAATTAAAAATTCGTCACGTCTGTCTGTCTGACGGATTGAATTTTCAACAATATATCTAAGTATGGTACACGTGGAAAAAGCAGCACACCATACTAACAACTATTGAAGCGATAAGTTACAGATTTGTATGAACTGGCTTGCTGTTGACTGCAAGGTAATAGTAATACGTTTTGTTTTGCTCAAAATTAATAAACATGACAAAGTTTTAAGGCCCAACAATTTGATTTTTATAAGATATCTATTTTGAATACTTTAACGGCTTTACCGTGTAACTTATTCTACAGTCAAAATGAAGCCCTGAAATATCTGTCAATTCGATAAATCAACTGTCTCTCTATTCGGCATATAAAAATATTTTATTTATATACAGAATATCGCTGTTTATAAATAATAAATTTATAATTAAGATGTCAATTTTGATCTGAGGTGTGTTGAAATAAGAAAATTAAGATGCCTTTGGGCACATTTTTTAGTAAAAGTGATTTTGCTAATTTTGATTTGTGTAATTATAAAGAGCAAGATGATGTTTAAGGAACATAATTATCAAATGTTTTACAATTAATGTAAGATGCAACCAATCAAAACAGGAAGCAACAAAACCAAGTCATACTTCATTGATATTACAAAACCAAATTACGTTTTTACCGTTTCACAAAGAAAAATATCCAATTTAGTCCAGATCCTGAGCGTAATATTTCACAGAGTTGAGAGGTTTATTTCCCATGATATCTTAATTAAAGCCATTTCATACTGAACAGGGCGCTGAAAGAAACAAAGAGGCCTCAAGTTATGAAACTAAGATTAATGGAAGCTGTTTTGTAAACTTAATAAGCAAACGTTAATCTTTGAAATTATATTTTTTTAAATGTGCCACTGAATAAAGTCTGGTAAAACCAAGTCATTCAATTTTTCTCTATAATGCTCACTTCTATGGCATTCACTTACACCGTGACGTACGCGTCTTTTTAAAAAGTGAATAAATAAATGTTATTCACAGTTTTTTTATCTAAACAAGTGGCATTTTAGACCAAATTTACCTGTTTACAGTTCAAAATGTCTTCCCAATCATGTTAAAACTTATGAACACATTTTGTTGCTATTTTTAAGGACATGAATTGTATTTAACAAATCAAAAATACTATAACTTAAATCAAGATTTTCAATTTTAAACTGTACATAAAAATTAAGGCACTTTATTTTGAAATTTAACTTTTAATGTGAGGATAAATTCAATGTTTTACGTAGGTGAGTTACAAAAATAAGTAATTACGGGGGATCCTAACGACTTTTCTACAGAACCCTTTGTTTCCACGAGCCCACTAAGGAATTGCTGTGTTATAGAATAAACTTGATATATATGATATCTCAGCCCAGCTAAATTTTATTTAATAAATTCTTGTAATATCCCAACTACAGCACAGACCTTTCCTGTGGATAAAATCGAATAAGGAGAAAAATGCGTGGTAAAAAATTATTATGCTAAAGTCGACAATCAAAAGTAATTCTTCCAACAAGACACTTCGTTTGAATCGCAACATCTTGATGCTAAAGCGGAACATACAACAAATAACTCTTGAAGACGAAGACAAACATTGATAAACGATTCTAGGCAGAACTTGTAAGTTTGCTTGCGGTTAACAACATTTTTCACACAGAAAACTTTATCCTGATATATGGTAATTGTACTGAATGTATAAATTTGTCACTGTTCCTACTGATGTTTGTTTAAGGTAAATTTAAAGGAGATACAACAAAATAAGCTATTAAAATTCTTGTACTTACTACAAAAATCTTACCTCGGTCCTTTGCTATTTAACATCTTTATAAATAATGTCAGTGAATGTTTTCAAAATTCTAAATTTTTATTATTTGCTGATGACACAAAGATATTTTCTATCATTAAATCTGTTGAAGACTGTATTAAACTTCAAGAGGACCTGGATCGTTTATGTAATTAATGTGCCTCAAATAAGCTGTCTATAAATATTAATAAATGTTGTTATATCAATTTCACTAGAAAAAAAAACACAAACAAAATTCAAATATCAACTTTTTGATAGCTTTCTTTCAAAAAAATCTGAGATGAGGGATTTGGGTGTTACGCTGGACAATGAATTGCTTTTGTCATCTCATATCAACAAAATTACAACTAAGGCTTACAGAATGTTAGGTTTCATATTTCGCCAGAGTAAAAACTTTACGAATGTAGAAACAGTATTAATTTTATATAATAGCTTTGTTAGATCTCATCTTGAATATGCATCTACTGTTTGGAACCCGAAGTGTTCGATATATAATAAAGCTGTAGAAGAAATCCAAAAGAAATTTATAAGGAGGCTGAAATACAGGTTTCGGGGATTTTGCGAGGACAAAGTTGAATCACTGTCGCGCAGAAGGGAGCATAGGGACTTAACATTGTTATATAAAATCATCAACAATTATGTTGATTCTCCTTATTTACTTAGTAAATACTTATTGAAGTGCCCAAGGAGTAACCTGCGTTCTAGGGATACTTTTTCCGTCCTTTGGAGCCGAACTAATTATGCTAATAACCGTTTCGTTGTTAGAACTATGAATGCTTACAATTCTGAATATGGTCATGTTGATATCTTCAGTCTTAAACCACATAAATTTAAAAAACTGATAAAGAATAAACTATAATTTTCTCTCAGTTACTTTAAATCATACCTATTACAGTTGCTGTGAATGTTTGTGATCTTGAGACTTCAATTTGTGTTTTCATGTCATGTTATTTCTAGTTTATCGTTTATAAAAATAAAAAAAAACTTAAATTGTTAACTGTTACGTTATTCATTGTTTGTTCGATATAGCATTGCATGTGTTTAGCAGTGGAAACTGTCTAGGCTACTGTACTACTTAATTGAATTATATATATTCATGTGTAACTCAATGCTGTTGTTTCCCAAAATGAATAAATAAATAAATAAAGTTAGACCAAAACATTTTTAACCAAACCAATTACCAAACTTATTTGATTGATGTATTTGTGAGGATATGTGTTTGATACTCTTACATGCGAAAACTAATAAGCTGATTTTGATAAAATTTGGTATATGGATAATTCCAGGCCTATATTGACATATTGACATAAGTATCCTATATGTCAATTATATCTGGAAAAGCATGTATACCTCTAAATGCTTTCCCAGATATAGGAAACATATAAGTCACGGGGGCGAAGCTGCCAGCGGAGAGATAGTTGTTCATTAGCAGATTGTTCAGTGCATCAAGTCAACTTTAGAGAATGGATATTTTTAGTTAAATTTATAAAAAATACACTTTATAATTCCGCTCACAGTAGGTCTGATTAAAATTAGTCGAGTATTTAAATATTACCTATCTTATATGTTTCATAGCTGAATATAAAAAAATAGTTGACGTGATAACATTTCAATAATAATCTCATCTTTTATACACATTATCGACTACGTACACAGTATTCTATAGAATATCCAGGCAAAGTATAAAATAAATTAGAATTCATATTTTTACTAAGCGTTGTTTTTGATATATATATATATATAGCTATTGTATACCGATTAAAGGGTTTGCCGGTAACATATACATTCATTAACGAGCACAAGCCAAAAGTGAACAAAACTATATATTGCGTCGGGTTTTGTGTGGAAACGACAGCCGAATGTTCGTCTATGCTCGAAATGACGAATATTCGTCTCTATATAAGATACTCTTAAGTACATATAAATACTAACAATTATTGATTAGACAGTAATGCTATATTATGAAATCTACTTAAAGTTTATATATTTTTTTATATTTATGTTTATTACAGCGCACGTGTCACTCGCACAAAGCTGGTTATTTTTTACTCTTAAGTTCGTTTTTATCGTGTAAACGTGTTTTTATTTCTTGTAAGTGTTGTCTATTTTATAGGTCTTTAATCGAACTTTAGCTTTTTTTATGTTGGAGAGAGATAGAAGTTACATTATATTTATGTTATAGCATTGCCTAAAAAAACCTTGATTATTAATCATTCAAAAGAATGAAATTCAAAAATTTTGGCTATTTGAAATTCAATCAATAGATTCGTTAGTATTCCAGCCAATCAAAAGAACTGCCTGAACCCGGCATAAAACCTTATTGATATATCGATGGGACTCCTATCGTTCCTTTGTATTTCCTACTGACATTCGAGACACAGACCTAACAACGAAGGTTTAAGCACAATATGAATTCACACAATTGGTCATAATATTAACTAGCTTTCCGCCCGCGGCTTCGTCCGCGTGATCTTATATTATACACAAAAACCTTCCTTTTGAATCACCCTATCTATTAAAAATCCGCATCAAAATCCGTTGCGTAGTTTTTAAGATCTAAGCATACATAGGGACAGACAGGCGGAAACAGATAACAAATATATAACTGTCTTGTGTCTTGTGTTTGAACGTAGAATAAAAAAAAGAATTTTCTTGCTTTTCCGTATCTTTAATTGAATTTCTGTCCTCTTTAACGCCTATTATAATAATACTTTATCATTGTGATTCACCAACATTACAACGAATACGTATTACAGTAGGTGCTCGATTTTATTACAATTCTGTGCAGTTCATTTCAAATCCAGCCATATTTTTCAGCAGTGACATATCTGTTCGGCCACAAATCTGCGCGAATGCTCGCTCCACTGATTGAACGAGGTTAGACGAAATCGGCTTATCGTCCGATGGCGAATGGAGGATAATTTCATTGGAGTATGCGCCAGAGGGCCACCTGCGCTGCCTCCATGCAAAATCGACAATGCAATTCTATATATTTTTATTTTCATCTCAATACACTTATAACTCGCTATAGTGCTTTAAAAAAAGTGCGAGTCGGACTTGCGCATAAAGGGTTCCGTACCGTAACGGTACGAAACTTTAAAATGAAACCAAAATTATGTTAACTGTATGGAATTCTGATTTGTTATTAAAGTAGCAAGAGAAAATGTTCAACTGTCTAGTTATCACGGTTCATAATACAAAGCCTGGTGACAGGCAGGCAGCGGAGTTTTAATAATAGTATCTCATTTTTACCCTTTGGATACGGAATCCTAAAAATAGATAACAATGCGTGTGTTATTCTGACGTCGATGGATATCAGATTATATTATTTACGTGGCGTTTTTAATTTATTGCGCAATGCCATACCTTACAAGAACTTTTATATAATTTTGAACCTCTTTATAAAATCCGCACTCCATTTGTTAACGACCATATCGCATGAACGTCTACGTTGATAATGTTTGGTGGGACTACAAAATTTAATGATTCAAACTATGAAGTAGATCCAAACTAAATGAAAAGATTGAATTATTTATCCCTCCTTATATCGTCAGCCAGTCGAATTCCTCACTGCTATAGTGGATTTAGTACTTTAGATCATATATACACAGTTAGACGACTAGTTCAGAAGTCAAGAGAATATCAACTACCTTTTTTTATGGCATTCATAGACTTTGAGAGGGTTTTTGATAAGGCCGAGATTTAGGCACGATTGCAATCTCTTATACGATGCCATATTTCTGTCGCTATATCGATCTTATTAAAAACATATATAAGCACGCAACCATGGTAGTTGAAGTAGCAGGAGGAAGAACAGAGTATAAAAGGTCGGAGAGAAGTAATACTTCTCCTCTCGCAGGGCGACACTATATCACCAAAGCTGTTTACAAACTTACTAGAGGACACCTTTAAGACACTGGAATGGAGTAGATTTGGCGTAAGGATTGACGGCGAACATCTCACTCATCTACGTTTCGCGGACGATATTGTCATCTTTGCTGAAAGCGGGCATGCGATTCAGCTTATGTAATTATCGTTAGCTAATGCATCTCGAAGAGTTGGTTTGAACATGAACCTATCAAAAACAAAGTGGCCAATAGGCCACAACCTGCAGATCACGCTGGAAGGAGTTGGGGGAGGCATATGTCCAATACTGGACAGACAAATGCTGATAAAGAAGAATAAATTTATATGTATGAGGCGTACGTAAGTACTTTTGCATATATTCTAAAAGCATATTATAATTCATACTCAATAATTCAGTAAACTCTTTCTGATTAATTACTTATAGTACCCAAAAAAATAGAAAATACTTTTTCTAGAAAAGAGTGGACCAGAGTGGACACAGCGGTACCAGACAAAGTTAGGACAGCTAACCTCAGTTAATTTCCGAGATTTTTTAAATTTAGACTGTTCAGACTAACAAAATGTCCTTAAGACGTCGATATCTTTTCAATTATTAATCATGTAAATTATGTTGACTTGCTTTCTGTATAGATCAATTATATGCTTAGATTTTAAAGAAAATTAAGGTGTAATCAGAGCATAAAACTTTATTACAGACAGACAACTGACACATTACTTAATAAATAATATAAAAATGCAGTTTCCAGTAAAAGTTGTCCAGAATTGTTCGATATTTTAAATGTATGAAATTCTGTAAATCCATCAAAGTAAACTATAATAAAACAGTAAATATAGTGTGTCTCTACATTAAATACTGGTGTTGGTACGACTACTCTCTAAAAGAAGAATGATTACTGATAGTCTCCGTTACTTTCCTCATCTGTATTGATATGGCAAAGGAAAAATACTATCGGAAGATATTTTATGCACTTTGAGGAACAATGTGCTGGATGTAATAACTCCAACCAACGACAGAGTGTTAAATTTCTGTCCCCTTTGTTCTATAAAAGAAACTGTGGACAAGTAGAAAGTAACGCGATTGGGGACAAATCCTTCGGTGATTACGGTCTAGAACCAAATCAATTGCGAATATGATGTTAAAACTAATCACTGTTATACAGAATTAGCCACCGTAGTTTGGGATTCAAGAAAGGGAAATATATTATAAAGTTGTCCACATCGTTTCTAATTATGTAGTAAAATTATTTTTCTTACATGCCTCAGGGGATACTTAACAAACATATATAACAAGAGCGATTCAGCTGCTTCCCGCTGCTAACATCACAAGTCTATTCTCAGGAGATTTTTGTCAAACTCATCCTGAAATAAATAAAGGAATTGAAGAATTCGTACCTCTGGTCATGTATACAAAAATTTACCCAGTTGCCTGTGGCTACTTGCTTCGCCATGACAATAAAGAAGTCACAGGAACAGACTCTCAAAGTGTTGGAGTGGATTTAAGGGCTTGTTGTTTTTCCCAAGGATAGCTGTACTGTATAGCTGTACGTAGATTTCTCGCGAGTCAGTAGTGCTGCGGATTTGTTTATGTTGGCCCTTGAAGGAAAACAACCAATTTATGTACAAAGAGTTTCTGTGAATTTTCGTCATCGGTTAACTTATTCATGTGGTGCCCGCGATTTCGTCCGCGGTAATATTATAGTTCGTAAAGTAACTTTATTTTTCTTAAATAATATTTAATTATAAACAAAATTGTTGGTTACTTATTTGGGAACACTTTATTTTTCATTTACAAGTCCTTATAACTAAATACATTTTCCTAATAGTAAATTAAAAGTAATACTTAATTTCTTTGCACTATAATTATATAATATTAAAAATAAACCCCGGGAACCTAATAAAATGCAATGTTTCATCGACTTTAATCTAATCTTATGAAATCACTTTGCTTATTTGATAAAGGCGCAATTATAAATTTTATGATAGCGCATAGGTATCTTGATTACAAGAAACCGATCATTGTTTTCTATTTAATATTTTATTAAGTGAACACTTTCTGATAGTATTGTAAATAAACATGTTCTTTTAAAAATGAATCAATACATCAGTTGTAAAGTTGTGGTAGGGTTAATCCTTCTTTCATGTAAGTATTAACATACATAAATAATTTTCTGTACATAACTAGTAAACAAATGCTCATGCTGGAACAAAGAAATTTTGTAACTCATATCTTGATTATTCTCTCCAATCGCACTTCTTCTTTTTTTATTAGGATCTCATAAACTAAGATTCATATTAAAAGGCGAGTGAATATATCTATGTTAAACATCAATTAGGTTAATAAAAGAACTGTAATGGTTTGCGGTTCGAAGACTGGTACTTTACGTGCATAACTAAAATACATTTATAATAACATATTCAACAAATTATGTAATTTAAATAGTATGGAATCATACTCATTCGCATTATTTAGTAAAACCTGTTTGTTATGGATAGAAATATCTAAAAACTGGCTTACCATGTCATCATGAAATGGCGGCATATCGAATTATGCCCGTGTAGATCTCGATCGGCCCAATTCAACGATTAGCCCACGAGTCAGTTAACCTAAATATGTCTAATGAATTAAACGTCAAAATCGAGTGAAGAAATTAGATAGATTCGTATAATCCAACGTTGACTATACAAGATTATTGGACTAATGATCTTTACTTTGGTCTACGACATTTTATAACAAGCATAGATTATCACAAAAATACTACTGACAAAACATGCACAAAGCAGAAACTAAATTTTGCGTTATCTTTATAAATTAACTTCTCATTGTGTTACCTTCCAGGCAGCGTTTTAATAGTAGCTCAGTCTCCAAGCCGCGCCTGTTTCCAGTTTACTTGGCTCGGTCCCCAGTTCAACAATGAGAGTGTGTTCATGAACGCTACCTGTCAGGATGCAGTAAGGCTTGCGAGTGGTGTACCCTGCAGGGAACCACTAGTAGTGTCAGGTAAATCTGTATTGTTAACGAAGAAACTTTACCTAGGAGAAGGTGGCCTTAAACGGGTAAGCTAAGCCAGAATGTAAAAAAATATGTCAAGTTCACTTGAATCCTTAACTTCATTTACATGAATACAAAGGATATTTATCAAAGTATAAAATAAAATACCAATTGTTTTTTTTTATTAAACATTTATTTTGTATGAAAAATATTAAAGATCTCCAAATGCCCGCATTATGGCCAAAAACGGGTAACCCCCTCTGGGCAAAACAGGTAAGCTTAGAGCAAACCAAGTACACATGTTTTAAGCGGTTATTCCCTCTTAATGACTTAATCTAGTAGAAAAATAACAAAATCAACTATTAAACTCTATTTTCATCACAAAACTTAGGTAGCAAATTATGTATAAGCCTTTATTTCTTACTTTTTAAGCAGTCGTTATATCTGGCTTAAGTTTAAGATAAGATTCGGTAATTGAACGTACTTAAATGGAATTAGAGTCTCATACGATCAGTCTTTAAGGATTTACTCGTATTTGAAAATCAATATCAATATAAGAAATATAAGTTCAAACTAATAACAAACATTTAAATCAACTATATCTACTGTAACAAATATAGAAATTCATATCGAACATCCTATACTGCATGTCCTTTAATTCTAAAGGCAGTTACCTTCCAGAACTTTTCTCGGAACTTCCCTTTTTAACGTGTGGCTGCAAAGAAAGTGTAAACCCATACTTCGTCGCGGCAGCAGATACCGAAGAGGATTTAGCGTCTTCCATTGCCAAGAAAACCCAATGAATTATATTGAAAATGAATTCAGGGCAAGACGGGTACCCATTTTGCCCTACCCGTTTTGCCCAAAAGTACTATTATATTCTTTCTTTATTGAATTGAATCATAATACAATACTGTATTATTAGATACAGTATGCGTTCAATACATCGAGTTAAATAAATGCATTCAACAGTTAGTGATAAGGCCGCCAATTGTAATGCCAAAAGCAACTATTGAACGCTGAGTTCATTTTGGATGAAATTAAAATTCACTCAACATTTAACACTATATTGTCAATTATAGTAATAATAGGGGTTAAAGTATGAAATTGTCGATTTGTACTGAAAATCAAAATTGTTTATTTTTTAATTTTTAACAAATTTATTGAATCAAAATAGTTACCATTATTATCTATACATTGCTGCCATCTAATAGCCTAATTGCCATTTAAGCCTTTACGATAGCACTCTGAGGATCTAGACTGCACAAACTGTGTTACGGACGGCGGACATGAAGACCCTTCCCCGCAACCTCACCCCCGCAACGAGTGGAGGGGGCACACCACGGGCAGCAGCGACGGGAGCACCCCCCCCGCGACCTCCCCGCCGCATAGTGGAAGGGGCACCGACATAACATGAATCTATTAGGTCAATTAACGCGTTAGGATAGTAGCTAAGTGCGAACGAACAAATCCCACTTAAGTAAACCCGATTTGTATGAAAGCATGCCTACGAACGTTTTCGTACTTTGTACTGCAAATAAGAAGAAAGAATAAACGCCTTCAAATCTCCAAACTGTTGTTTCCATCCCCAACAGTTTTCGCTGGTCCTTCAAGAGCCGGATAAGGAGTTCGCTGATTCTTCAGAAGCCGGATAGGAAGATCGCCGAGCTACAGTTTGCTCGTCCGAAGCCGGAAAGAAGAAAGCGTGTTCTACGAGCGTCGAAGCACTGCAAGATCGGTACAGTGTACGTCGGTACAGAGTACGTCAGGTAGAGAGTACGTCGGTACAGAGTACGTCAGGTACAGAGTACGTCGGGTACAGAGTACGTCGGGTACAGAGTACGTCGGGTATAGAGCACGTCGGGTATAGAGCACGTCAGGTACAGAGCACGTCAGGTACAGAGTACGTCGGTACAGAGTACGTCGGGACAAAGTTACGTCTCAAGATACAGCAAGATGCCGCGAACAAGAAGCACCACTAAGGACGACCGCGCCACCGACGCGTTACTGGAGCAAGCACGCCGTGGATTATATGAGCTGCCACCCGCTTCACCCTCTGTGGTCGATGGAACAACGACCGCTGAACGCGAGAGGGGTCCTATTCCCGTCGGAACCAGGGAAGAAAAGGACTTTGAACAAGGAGCCACGGCACCAATCACAGAGAAGCAGCGTACTCCTACGCGTCCGGCATCGGTTCGATCTTCGGCTAGCGCTGCGGCACGAATTTTGAAAGCCGAATACGAAGCCGAAAAACGGCTGACGGAAATGAAGATCCGTATGGAGACGGAACTTATGAAGAAGAAGCTGGCATGGGAAAAAGCGGTTATACAAGAGTCGGACAACGAGAGTATCGCCGACGATACGAACGTCGAGGAACGCATCGACACATGGCTAAACCAAAGCTCTTCCATCGCGCAACACACGGAGCAAGATTCAGCGCCACAACTGGAACGAGAAGCAACGAGAACAACGCCATACCGCGTGTCACGACGCGCTCCCTACATCAATGCAGGGGGGGGAGCCCGAAGCGCACGCTGCAGAACCACAGCCACAACGACGACGATCGCCGTCAAGACAGCAACGGGGTATGGAAAAAGCTGGCAGACGTGCTAGAGAAAATGATGCACGTCAGATCGCCGCCGAGACAAGCAACCGAACTACCCCTATTCAGCGGATCACCGATGGAGTGGCTACCGTTCAAGGCCGCTTTGAACGAATCCACGCAGCTGTACAAATTTACGCCGATGGAAAACCTGGCGCGACTTCGAAACTGCCTGAGGGGGGAAGCTAGAGAAACAGTATCGGCGCTGCTAGCAACCACTACGGACCCGGCTGAGATCGTACAAGTTTTAGAGCAGTGTTATGGACGACCAGAAAGCATCATCTGCCACGTGCTCGAGCAGATAAGAAGATTACCGAAGCTCGGAACCACCGCCGCCGAATGGAACGCGTTAGCGGTTAAAGTTCAAAACATCGTCTGCGTTATGAAGCAAATTGACAAGAAAGGATACCTCTCAAACCCAATGCTGGTGCAAGAAATAGTAGCGAAGCTCAACCCATGCGTCACTTCAAAATGGTGGGACTACGCAGAGGACCACGGATCGGATCAAGAACCAGAGATAGTAACTCTATCGAAGTTTCTCACGCGCGAAGCAAATAGAGCATTCCGACATGCACACATGTCAACGCCCAGCACGATTACGAAAAAAGAAGATAAGAAACCTTTCAACACGGGAGCAACGCGACGAGCGGCAACGCACAACATCACACAAGCAACCGAGCGTCGCTACTGCTGCTGTTGCCGGGGCGGATCATGAGCTACCCAAGTGCCCGCAGTTCATCAAGATGAACACGGACGACCGATGGGCGCTTGTCAAAAAGAAGAAAATATGCTTCAAGTGCATAGCCGCGCGCCACCGACGAACATCGTGCAGAGCAAAGCTGTGCGGCCAGAACGAGTGTCGCCGACCCCATCATAGACTGCTGCACGCGGAGGCCGCACCTGCACCCGCATCGACGTCCGCCGACACCACCGAGGAGTGTCACGAAAAGAAGACTGACGTCGAGACCGTCGCCACCACAGTCGGCTCCGAGAAAAAGAAAGAAGTCCTACTGAAGGTGTGCCCGGTCGTCATCAAGGGACCGGCCGGCGAAGTACGAACCTACGCGTTACTGGACGAAGGCTCGACGGTTTCGCTAATAGACAGAAGATTAGCGGAGGAACTTCGCGCCGACGGCCCCACGCAGACCATCCACCTGCACAGCATACAGAACGTCATAAGGGATGAAGAAAGCAAACGAGTGAAACTTCAAATACGGGGCACTAACACGAACTTCTTCGACTTAGAAGCCAGAACGATCGACCGAATCGGTATAAGAGGACAATCGATTCCAGAGGCCGTCCTGAAGCACCCGCATCTACGTAAGCTGAGCGCCGAAGAGGTGTGCTACGATCGAGCACGACCACGAATCCTCATCGGCGCGGACCACTGGCACCTCGTGATTTCCCGGGAGCTACGCGCCGGACGAAGATCGCAGCCCGTCGCGTCAAGAACAAGCCTAGGTTGGGTGATACTGGGAAACCTGCCTCGAGCCACGACCAAGGAAAATCACAAGATAGTGTCACATCTGAGAATCACAGAAGATGCGCCGCTTCGCCCGTGCACTAACGACGTCGACGAAGAACGCCTCGACGAAATTATAAGAAGTCATTATGACATCGACGCGCTTGGAGTATCGACGAAAAATCGAACAAAGCCCGACGACGAACGCGCCGCGGCTATAGTAACGAAGACAATGCGCCGCACGAACAAAAGATACGAGGTGGGGTTACCATGGCGTACGGACGACGTGACGATGCCGCCCAGCTATGACAACGCTCTGAAACGACTGAAAGGCATAGAGAGAAAAATGGATCGCGACCCGTCCTTCGCCGCGGCTTACAGAGCGCAAGTTGAAAACCTCTTCGAAAAAGGATACGCGGAGCAATGCGACGGCACCGAACAAGCGAGCCCGAAGAGCTGGTACCTACCGCATTTTGCGGTGAAGAATCCCAACAAGCCTGGCAAGCTACGCCTCGTCTTCGACGCAGCCGCCGTTACGAACGATGCCAGCCTTAATCAAGAACTACTAGAGGGTCCAGACCTATTAACGTCGCTGCAAGGAATACTCTTCCGATTCCGAGAAAAACCGATCGCCGTAACCGCCGACATTCAAGAGATGTTCTTGCAGATTAAAATCAGAAAAGAGGACCAGCCCGCTCAAATGTTTCTGTGGCGAGGAACGGAACGAACAAAACCGCCCCAGAAATACAAGATGACGTCATTGATTTTCGGCGCGGCAAGCTCGCCTTTCATCGCACATAGCGTAAGAAACGCTAACGCCGAAGCCTACGCCGACTCGCATCCGGAAGCACTATAACCAATAACACGTAGTCACTACATGGACGATTACGTGGACAGCTACGACACCGAAGAAGAGGCCACCAGAATTGTAAACAGCGTGGCGCACGTCCATCGGCAAGCGGGATTCGTGCTGCGAAGTTGGAACTCAAACAGCGCAGCCGTCTTAGCAACCATACCCACCGAACTACACGCCCAGTCACCGACCCGACTCGGCGCGAACGTCAATCACTTCGAGAAGACACTGGGACTCCTATGGAACGCCGCCGAAGACAACTTGACATTTAACACCACCATGGCACGGGTACCCGTGGAGGTGAAGGAAGAAAGAAGATCGCCGACGAAAAGAGAGGCTCTGTCGGCTGTCATGTCCGTGTACGATCCACTCGGACTAGTGAGCCCATATACAATCGCCGCGAAAATATTCCTCCAAGATCTATGGCGAAGGAAAATTGGGTGGGATGAGCCGCTACCACAAGAAGACGCCGATAAATTCCACACATGGCTACGGGGCTTACATCGCATGGGAGAGATAGCAATCACACGCTGCTATACAACGGCAACGAAATGTCGACGACGGGAGCTGCACGTGTTCTGCGACGCCAGCGAGAGCGCCTACGCCACGGTCGCTTACTGGAGGATCGAGGACGAACACGGAGAGGCTCACGTAGCATTAGTGAGCGGAAGAGCAAAGGTAGCGCCTCTCAAAGCGCAGAGTATTCCGCGATTAGAACTACAAGCAGCGGTTATCGGGACAAGATTGGCGGATACGATAAAAACCGAACACCGATGGGCAATCGACGAAACGGTGTTTTGGACGGATTCAACAACTGTACTCGCGTGGATCAACAACGACGCACGCCGCTACACCGCCTTCGTGTCACACCGACTGGGTGAAATCGCCGAACGAACGGAGCCGAATCAATGGCGATGGATATCCACCGAATTAAACGTGGCCGACGACGCAACTCGAACGAAATACGCCGACGTCGTCCCCGCGAGATGGCTATCCGGACCGGAGTTCCTGCTGCGCGACAGGGAGGAGTGGCCTACACGAAGCAACGAAGAGGGACCCATCTCCGAAGAAATAGTGGCCCACACGACCGTCTCTTCTACGAACGAAAATGAAGCGATGCCGAATATAGAACGAATCGGCAAATACGAATGTCTCATCCGCGCCACGGCCTTAGTACTATTGGCTATCGAAAAATGGCATCAAAAGGGCAGCCAGTTGGAACTACGCCACATGACACGAGCTGAAGATATGTGGCTACGACGGGCGCAACGAGAGTCCTTCGGCGACGAAATACGACTGCTTCAACAAGGAAAGAAGATACCACAGTCAAGCCGCCTATACAAGTTAGACCCCGAGCTGATGAACGGAGTACTGCGCGCACGAGGAAGAATAAACGCCGCGACAGTACCAGAAGAAATGAAGAAGCCGATCATATTGGACGGAAAGCACCCGTTCACACGGAAGATCATCGTGAGAGAACACGAAGCGGCGGGTCACGCAAACAGAGAGCGTGTCATCAACGAATTACGACAACGCTACTGGATATTGCGCCTACGTCCGTCGGTTCGCACCGCCACCCGCGCATGCGTGATGTGCAGAGTTAGAAGATCGAAGCCAACAACGCCATCTACAGGGGACTTACCGCGCGAACGACTCAGCCCGCACCTCAGGCCCTTCACGTGCTGTGGCCTCGATTACTACGGGCCAATGATCGTCACCGTAGGACGACGCCACGAGAAGCGCTGGGGCGCATTGTTTACTTGCCTAACCACCCGAGCGATACATCTAGAAGTTGTGGCAAGCCTCAGCACAGACTCGGCGATAATGGCGATAAGAAGAATGGCAGCGCGGCGTGGATGGCCGAAAACTATAATGAGCGATAACGCAACGAACTTCAAAGGCGCCGACAAGGAACTACAAGCGGCCATACGAGAATGGGCCCCCAGACTACAAGATTACCTGCTGCAACGGCGCGTCGAATGGAAGTTCATCCCCCCTGGCGTACCCAACCAGGGGGGAGCATGGGAGCGACTAGTGCGGTCCGTCAAGACAGCTCTAGCCACAACGCTGCACGAGAGGGCACCGAAAGAAGAGGTGCTCCATACGCTGATGACCGAAGCCGAACACGCGGTGAACTCACGACCGTTAACCCACGTATCGGTCAGCCCGGCCGACGCCGAAGCCCTCACACCGAATCACTTCCTCCTAGGAACATCATCAGGTCTACCACTCACCGGCCCCTGTCGACCCTGCGACAGGCGCCAATGGCGGGCCACCCAAGCGCTCGCCGACAGTTTCTGGCAGCGATGGATGAAGGAATATCTTCCGACGCTGGTACCGAGGGGCGAAACAAGAAAAGAAGCCGCACTTCGAGTAGGCGATCTCGTCATCATCGCCGACCCAAACTCACCGCGCAACATCTGGCCCCGGGGAGTAATCGAACGCATCTTCCCCGGGCCCGACGGCGAGATCCGAAGCGCCGACGTACGCACCAGAGGTGGGCTGTTTCGGCGACCAACGAGGAAGCTCATCGTGCTGACCACCGAGACACTGGACACTTTATGCGGATAAACCTCCCCCGGACCAGCGGGGAGGGACGCGCTGCGATCCTGAGCCTGGCGAGCCGTCCGATCCGGCGAAAGGGGCTCCGAGCATCTCTTCGAGCGTCTCTTCGCCGGGGGGAGAACTGTTACGGACGGCGGACATGAAGACCCTTCCCCGCAACCTCACCCCCGCAACGAGTGGAGGGGGCACACCACGGGCAGCAGCGACGGGAGCACCCCCCCCGCGACCTCCCCGCCGCATAGTGGAAGGGGCACCGACATAACATGAATCTATTAGGTCAATTAACGCGTTAGGATAGTAGCTAAGTGCGAACGAACAAATCCCACTTAAGTAAACCCGATTTGTATGAAAGCATGCCTACGAACGTTTTCGTACTTTGTACTGCAAATAAGAAGAAAGAATAAACGCCTTCAAATCTCCAAACTGTTGTTTCCATCCCCAACAAACTGTGTGAAAGCATTTTGTACTGCCTACTAGGAAGAAAACTTCTAGTCAAATAGATAATTGTCCAAATCTCGAAAAATGGTAGTCCGTTGGAGCACAGTCTGGTGAATACGGAGGATGACGAATGGTATCTAACAAAACGGTTTCTCGTGTTGTATGAGGTCTTGCGTTCTGATGGAGCAATAATGATGAAGATCGATTCATGAGTCGGGGCTGTTTTACTGCTAGGTTTGCCAACATTGTTCGGAGTTCGGCACAATAGACATCTGCCGTTATTGCTTGACCAGATTGGAGAAAACTATACACACCGACACATTTTTTTTTTTTAAATCTATATAGAACGCTCACCCAGATTTAAAGGTATCACGCCACCTGACCGGTATTCGATGATATTTAAATAAGAGAAGTTTAAGATTATTAGAATTCCGACTGTTTTCTTTAGACTGTTTTCTAATTATATAATTTGTTAATGGCATCAATTTTATATTTCAGAAAATGGTACCTGGCCTAATATGAATTACATTTGGACCAACCACAGACAACAGGCGACTTGCGTTCCTGCCGCTAACGACGTCTGCGCAACTTTTACATACTATTTCAATGGACATGGTAACTTGAATGAAAAAGTATTTAAGAAGAACATTAGTTCTCGAAATTAAACTAGTATTGATATCGAACTATGCAAATTTCAGTTTTTTAATATGTTAGTCAAAAGGAACGGAAATGACTGTCTTTGGTTCATTCGTTTCCTGCAAAAATCAACGTCGCCATCTTGTAAGATGCTTTTTAATGCTTTCTTTTTTTTAAATACTTACTCATTAGCTACAATACTGATAGAATTAAGTAATTTGTACACGGTAGAAGAATTGTAGTATTAAGAGATAAGAGATAGACAATTTCCTTCTGGTCCGTTGTTTATAATTTTATCTATAAAACTTCTGCTTTTATTAAATTGCAGTTGAAAACGCAACATACATGTGCACTCGGGCCGTAGACAGCTCTGGCAATGCGATTAGTAGAGGTTGCTTTGAACAAAGGAATGGCAGTTTCGTGACACGTGCCTGCTTCTGTCAATCTGTCGAAGGAGGCCTGCCTTGCAACAATGCGACGCTTAGCAACATTTTGTCGTTCACAGCCTTTTTACTGGCCATGACAGTAACAATTATAAAAAGTTGATGAGTAATTTATACTTCCTACTCGTACATAGTAATGACATATTCTTTTTGTATAAATTATTTAATTAAAGTGATACTTTAAAATATATCTTTTGTTTTATTATGAGGATTATAAAAATGAAAAAAATATTATACATAAACCGCATAGGTTGCACTGATTCTGCGATAAGTAGATAAAACTGGTAATATGCAATACATATCTGAAATAACGAAGGTAACACAACCCGAGACATTATAGAAAATTTATTTTTCTGCATTGACTCGACCGACAATCGAACTTAAAACCTCGGCGATTGCGACATCTTAAAACCGACGCGTGATCCACTCAGCTACAGAGGTATCTATAATAGGTTTATTGTCCAAAAAAATACAACTAGGTATAAGTCCCGCAAATTGCTAATGCGCTGGTACATTGTCTAAATTGCAATATTTGTCTAAAAAGATCAATTTATATGTTAACAAAAAAAATATTTAATGTTACAATAACGTGATAACGTGAAGTAATAACGTGAAGTGAGCACGATTTTTTAAATCATTGGCAAAAATATTTTTTGAAATGAGAGACATTAGATATTTATTTTTAATGACATCAGGTTTACCTAATGTGGAAATGGAAAAAAAACAAGTAACAACAAAAGTCAACAATAACAATCGAAAACAACAAACACATAAGAAAAATTGTAGGAAATCTCAACACAACCAAATTCAATAAATGTAATCGTAAATCAGTTTTTCAACCACACCAACTCCAGTAAAAAGAACACCCGAAAACTTGATTTATTTTTTCTGTAAAAACCACTTGATAGAAATATTAAAAATTGTTGAAGATTATGAAAAGAGCAGATTCTATCACAGTCACTAGTCACGTGCATTGTTGTGAACATCATTTCAACGTCAGTATTGTGTTCATTATGTATACATCTAAAAGTGTTTCTTTTAAGCAATGGAAAAGACAGCTCATCTAAATAAGCAGGTTAACAACCTCACGGGCGGCGATGAATTTCTGTATTAAAAATCGAACCCATGTTTATTAAATCTTACCACAAATACTTTTAAATGTTAGCTATAAGTTATCATAACGTACCGAGCCACACAAGACTACGGTAGTAAATTCATGTATGTTGAAAAAAATCAACCTGATTAATGTGTATCTGTGCTACAGTCAAGGGTAAAGAACAAGTTACTTTTTTATTATATTATTTCAAAACTATGTTTACCAAAATCGCACTTGGAACCTATAACACTGATTGTAAAGTCAGGTGAAAAAAACTTTAAATTTTATTGATACATAAAAAAAAAACAAAAAAGTAAATATGATTTATTTATTCTTACTAGCAGACGAGTTAAACCTTCTATATCTGAGCCTGGGTTTTTTTGGCCAAGGCCATACGTTTACACACCTATGGTCATGGCCATTTCGATCGATACTGGGTATTATTTTAGGTTTTATTTTTACAAAAACACGATAATTAGTACGACTGTATTATTGCATACAAACCTTTTTAACATTACAGATTGAAAATGATGTGGTAAACTTAAAAAAAAACCACTCAGTTTGCAATAAAAGAAAAAATTAACTTTTTGTTTGTAACCCACTGAAAAAATTCAACATTTAAAAATGAAATTCAGAAAATATTTTTCACCTCTGCTTTTTAAACATAAAATAATACAAACTGGCTTTATTCTCATTTAATATTTTTGGAACTTTATGTAGAACTTTGACAACTTGGAAAGTGATTATAACCCCTACCGCAGTTTGAAACTCGCTAAAAAACAAACTTATATTTTAACAAAACTTGATTGAAATAACTAGTAACATAAATGAGTACTCAGACATTATTACTTCTTTTTCATCTGCCTAATCACCATTCTTGGACAAATATCGCGCAACCATAAAAATGACGATTTTTGATGGGTATTCGACTGTCCTTTTACAAAACCTTTTTCCATCACTATGTTATTCAGTAAGAATAATATCCAAATTAATTTATAACACAGACGCAATACCAAACACTTAAAATATTAAATTCAAACCACTTTATAAATCAAAATCCATTTAACATAAACACTCCGCATCACTTACAGTCGAGGCTGCCATATACCATAGACAACATTGATTGTACATTTCTGAACGCATAAATAAAAATTGACATGACGTGTCTTCCAATGTTCTGTCAAACAGTGACGTTTACAATTGTGATGGTGGTTTGATGCCACCGTGGAAAATAGAAGTAACTTTTTCCTCAAATACTAAAGCAAATCGGTGACAAAATGTATTCGGTGTTAACAAGAGGAAATGCAATATTAACATATACATTAAGTGTACTGGCATGTCTGACATTTTTATGTTTTCTTTCAACATTAACTGTGGATTACAGAACTGCTGCACAAATGAACACTGTAAAAGTAGTCGTGTAAGGTGTTTTACTATTACTATTGCAAGGAAAAACTTTGGAAAATACTTATCGCTCATTCTTGTTTTAATGCTTACAGAAAAAATGTCCCAGATTACGGCGCATCTCGTGAAAGAAATGATCTCGGTTTTCTGACTTTCGATTTGAAAACCGATCTGTCCCATCTTTTTAACTGGAACGTGAAGCAGTTGTTCTTGTATCTAACTGCAGAATACATTACACCTAACAATGAATTAAATCAGGTTGTCTTATGGGACAAAATTATCCTGAGAGGTGAAAATGCTTTATTAGATTTTAAAAATATGAATACAAAATACTATTTCTGGGATGATGGAAATGGTTTGAAGTAAGTAATTAGTGTTATTGTCAATATTTATCTTAAAATTCAGACTATCTTATACTTTTAATTACAGTAATGTTTTTTACACCCAAATGTTTTGAGGGTAGAGTTTAAAATCACCTGGATAAAATATTGTAATGTGTAGCTGTCTACCTAATTTGATCAATATTAAATAATAATCATAATTTGAATAATGCCATAAATTTCTACTTTTTTTTATTAACTAATATTGTATTTTCAGAGCTCACAACAATGTCACTCTCACATTATCTTGGAACATCATACCAAATGCTGGTCTCTTACCGAATATTCAAGCTCTGGGACAACATTCATTCAAGTTCCCTACAGAATACACTCAGACAAAAGTATGATCCGAGAAGATATACCAGTATAACTATGTGTTTTAGTTGAGATTGAGTTTTATGGTGAGATGTGGAATTATACTGCTATAAATAAATCGATTTTTACTTTTGAACAGTGAAATCTTTAGTTAATATGTTAAATACAATAAGTAATGTAAAAATAGGTAGATAGGTAACATGACTTATATTTCATTGCCTTAATTCTACTGGATATTATTGCCAAACAAACTGGATATTAAATTCAGATTTTTCTAATCAATTTTATTTAAAAAAATATTATTAGAACCACCAAGTTTTATTGTACACAAATCAAATTTACATTATTAACATTATTGTATTAGTACTTATTCCTGATGCTGATAATTATTTATTTCATAGTGTAGGACAAAACAAAATAGTTATGAAACCTATTAAGAAATAGAATGAAATGTCATAGGCAACAACTTGTATAATAAAACAAACAATATGTATTATAAGTATATTATCAATTACATATTAAACATTTATCATTTGCTCTACATGTGTTGTTCTACAGCAGAAAAACTTTAAATCCTCTATCATCAGTATATCTACAAACAATAATACAATTTACAGTTTTGCAATATAAACTGCATGGTCAATATTATTACTGGCAACACATTAATTTAATACTTTGTGACACTTTGTGAAACATTTGATTTAGTTGATTATGTGCGTAGAAACAGAATCGGAATTTCATGATTATAGGTATACCTACATAATAGCGATTTAATACATTATCATGCACTTTTTATAAAGTGCCTTGCACTTATTTGTCAAAGAGTATATAAATGCAATTTTATCTATATTCAAATTCTATTTTAATAAGTGATTCAATGTGCCAATTTTTGCACATCAAATCAATCTTAAAAAACTTATGTACTATAATTACAACCAATTTAAAGTGTTTATAATCTTCATCTTTATAGTATCAATGACAAATCCTATGAAAATTTTAGCATTAAAATTAAATTAATGTAAAATCAAATGTGAAAAATTAATAAAAAGATCTATAAACTTCAAGTTTGTATTTGTAATGTGACAATGTAATTAATATTCTAAACGAATTTAAAATAACAATATATTTAACTCTAAAGTATCTACTAGCTAAATATAACTTTTTAATTCAAGTGGTCACATCAAAATCAGGCACAATTACCATAATAATTGTATCATAATTATACATAACATTAATGAGGTAAAGGTATTTTATTAAGATTATTTTTGACAGACTTCATTTATAGTAAGGACCATAAAGAAAGGCTAATACAAAATAAAAATACCAATCTTAATTAAATTACTAAAATTAGAATACAGAACTGTAAAATTTATCAATATTCAAGTAATAATAATGGTTTATCCCTAATTACAATTTAGATACAATTATCTGACAATATTTCTCAATACATTCAATTTACTAAATAACTTTTTAATTGAAATTAACTTTATTAAAAATAGTCAAAATGTATTAATAGAAACAGAAAATATTTATTACAAACCAGTGACGGGCTAAGGGGGGCAAATCCTTTTCAATAAATGTTACCACCACTCTGCCACTCTGATACCATTGAACTATCACAATTTAGGTATTTACTTAACCTGAAACTATAAATAATAGATTTTAACACTACATGCACAATACGAGTTTTGTGTGTATTAGTGGTAAAAAAAGCTTGCTCTATGGGTACTCGGCTCAGATTGTAGATCCGAATGTTTCCCCTTGTAAAAATTATAAAACATTCTCATACTTGTAAACAGATCCAATAGCAATTTGTTTAATCCCTCTTCCAAATTTCAAAATTGTTCTAATGCATTTGAAATATCAAACTACAAAATAGCAAGCAATCCCAGCATCTTTACATTTGTTGATAAATTATTGCGCACAGTAAAGAGACATCACAAGTTTTAAACCCTCTGCATATTCATTCAACTCCCTCCCATTCAAAAGCAGAGTCCAACCGAAATTCTGATTACGTACTAAACACTATCCAAAATAAGTAGGTACTCGTAATAGAAATGATTAAACTAAAATGTGTCGTCCATCTCCAATCATATTGGATAACACGTAGTGAACTGTAATTGTAAAATTTGACCATTTATTTATTTATAACTGATTTCCACCAAAGATAAGATTTTTTTATTTGACTGATAATTTTAACAATCTACCTAAGATTAAATAATGAACAAAGTTATCCCTAATTTAATCAACTGTTTTGCCAACTTGTCAAAAAACATTAGGACGGTCAATTTGTTTAGAGGAAAATGCGACAAAACTTATTAAAAACAATTCACGTTACGGATTTGTCAATTAACAATCATAATATTGCTCTCATGCCTTAGGCATGTATTCTACACAGCTATTTAAGAAGTTGCTACTTGAACAACTACAGTATACTACCATCGTTCCTAAATTTTCTAACATTCAAAGCTGTACCCACTACGTCGCATGAAAAAATATTGCATATTTTAATAATTATAACTAGGACGCATTGTCACCCTACTCGCACTCACAGGTAGATGAAAAATTTATATCATAGCAAAATCGTTTAAACTATTATTTAATAACAGAAATGGTTAATTGACTAGTACTTAGTGTGACAGAATTATATTGATTAGTGTTCCAAAACTATCAATATAGTATGTTGAATTCAGTAACAGATATTAAAAATACTTGGAAAAAACCTTCGTCCTGTAGGTCAAGTGAGAGGCTAGAAATCTAAGACGATCGCTACGAGGTTATTTTTTTTTAAATCAGCCGCCGTGTAAAACCGTCCAAATGTCATAATAACTAGAGGACTAGTCGTGCAATTGAATGGCGCCATCCGACTAAAGGGCTAGCCGCCCATTTCTACTGCTGATTTACCCAGCTGGATGCGACAGATACAAAACGTCGGCGTAAATCGGAATTAATAAAAATAATATCGCTAACATGCAAACACATAATTCGACGCTAGAAAGCAAACACGTAGTAACCCACAAAACCAAAATTGTTCTTCAGAGTGGAAAAACTTTTATTTTATTCGATAAATAATTCCTATAAACGTCCATGGTAACAAAGAAGGTGCTCCTTAGTCAATTTGTACAGAAATAAGATATTGTTTTTTGAAAAAATATAAAGATTATCCATTTTAAATATCCATTTTGGTTTTGCGGGTTACTACGTGTTTGCTCTCCACCGTCGATATGCTCACAGTCACACCAAGTACTCATAAAATTTTAAAAATTTCAAAACTATTCATAATGAATTGATAGTATTATAGTCATTCAGAAATTATATAGTATTGAACTTATAACAACACTAATATATTCGAAGCAAGTGACAAAATTATCTAGTATAGTCTTGATCAAAGATCAGTTGTAGGTATATGATTTTTTACCCGGTTTCTGAATTGAGAATTTATAGTTAAGAATGTCTCAAACTGTATTAAACGTCACTTAAACAGGTTTTCGTTTTTTTACTTATGAAACGTAAAAGTTGGGTTATAAAGAATAATCTGTTGAAATATATACTTTTCTCAATTTAGAAAGTGACTGACTATTGGATACTATCAATTAGCAACGCTTCTTTTGATGGTACAATGATTAATCTTTAATGGGACTGCACTTGTAACAATTAATGGATTTTGATAATATTCGAGTAGATTATCTAAAATTATACAAAATAAAAAGAATATATTTTTACAATGATTCTGTCGCAACAACAGTAGGTGTATAATGAGTATTATAGTATTAATAAGTAACTGAAATTAATAATGAGCAAAATGTATTTACCTACTGGAAAGGAACTATCCTAGTAAAAATTAAGTGAAGCATACAGACAATGACGTCGAACAGAGCGATATAACACCGTCTATAAAATATTCACTCGACAAGCATTTGAACAAACTTTCACAACTCAATAGCTCATATTAAAGATCACAGTTTCTGCCACATCAAGTGATTTGGTAATACAGTTGATCACTATGAAACGTTCTAACATTAGTTCAAATTTAAAAGATTACATAATATTATTATACTTAATTACAATTTGTTATTTGATTTTAGAAAAAAAAACTGAAACTTCTGATATTATAGCTATATTGTTCCTATTCGCTGTAGTTTGTCATAATCTTTTTACAAAATACGAAACATGAAATACCTTTAAATGTCAAAAGACAATCATCCAAAATGTATGTGAAAAGTTGTATACCAGAACGACGACAATGGTCGATATAACGAACGGTTCGCCCGCACATCAGAATTCACCGAGAACGTTAGGTGAATTAACGCCAGCTCGGAACAACGCGAAGTAAGGGAGAAGTAGACTTTCACATGTGCGGAGCCGAATGTTGTGCTTCTACCTAGTTGTAGAAAAGTCATTATTATAAACAAATATAAAGCATTCAACATAGTGGACAACTGTTAAACCTAACTGTGTATATAAAACAATGTAGGGAAATTTAGACCCATAATTCGCACTATTACCTGAAGGTAGTAGAAAGGTAGAAGGTAGGTATTAGTAGTGAAGCCCTTAATTAGATTTTATTTTTATTAAACTATAATTAAAGGCGCACAAAATATCGCCGAAAAATGGCATAAATTGTACGATTATATGCTTCGATTTCTGGTTTTAAAAAGCTATTTATATTGAATATAATATTTTAATAATCATTCAAAAATAACAATATAACAATCAAGGAATAGCACAATGGGATAGTTAACTGGTAAACAGTTACTACTTTCATTAGTAGTACCTATCCGTGGCGGCGTTCAGAGACGGCAGGGCTTCACCGCGGGTCGTCACGCGCCCGTCAGTGGCGGCCCATCTGTCTGCACATCCTTGTCCTCAGTGGGTGGCGCGCACGCGCGGTCTGAACCGTACCGCCTCGATAAATCCAGCATTTCCCTCAAACCCTAGACAATTTTTACCGATTATAAAGCATGTCTAGTATTTTGCATAATAGTTCAATACTGCTTTTCCTCCCACACATTCTAGAAATGTGTAATACGAGAATCAGTATTTTACAATATCAAACTGTATAGCTGTGTCGATAAAGTATACCCTACTTTGCATACCATATTAAGTATATTATTAGACTACTTTTACTATCGCAACAATCCTCCACGATGTTGTCATATAGATAGTACATCTGTCTGTTTAAAATTGCACCTACACACTTCATGTAAAAAAACAAAAATACTACACAAAAAAAGTACTTAAGTTAGAGGTGTATTTTTTAGAGAATCACAAATACATGTAAGCATTCTTTGTTAATTTATTTCAATTCACCGGACAAAGACTCTCGACTTTTAATTTTAAGATAATTTTATGGTTCAAAATTAGAATATCTATGTTTATTTATATGTAAATTTTAGTTTTTGTGTAATTTCGTGACTTATTTTCACTAACGAAACTATTATTTTATTCACCAAACAATTTATCTCTATTTCCCTAGATTCGTTAGTAAAAGCTTATGAGCTATTTTGCTTTAAATTTTATTTTAATCAAAACCAAAAACATACTGGCACCACCTTTCTAAAATAACTGGAGTTCCTTTCCTCGATAATCTAATCCAAGTTCAAATAGTCAATAAATTCATTAAATACTGGCAACTCTGCATGTAAATGCCAAAAGATTCTATCACGTAACTTCCTTATGTTATTATTTGATGTCTTAATAAATTATGAAAGCAGTTTTTTTAAGTTTAGTTATGTTGCAGAACCATATGTTTTCTTTTTACACTTTTGTCTGCATAACCAACTAACACTTGCCCTGAGCACCAGTTGTACAATAAAAAAATAGAATGAGGTTTACAAATCGATTCATACACATTACAGACGGACATGCTTCAAAAGCTCGGTGGCGTAGTGGATAAGTGCCGCGGCCCGCGATCGTTGTCGTTGAGCGACTTTCGCTAGGGTCGGTCACGGGATGGGTGACTAAAAAATATATATATTATCCCGAGCTAATCCGTGCTTCGGAAGGCACGTTAAGCCGTTGATCCCGGCTGCATTTGCAGTCGTTAATACCCTCCAATCCGCATTGGGCCTGAGCCCTTGCAGTGGGGACGTAAAACGGGCTGATGATGATGATGTTGATGATGCTTCAAAATCCCAAAATAAAAATTATACACTGCATAAATATGATAATATAAAATCTGGCTCTTTAGATCGTAGGAGGGGTAGAGGAAAGGCGCACAGTAATAATATTTCACACAAAGGTAATTGAAACCATACCTTATTCTCAGTAATAAGCCTTTGGTAAAGCTCTTCTTCTTTTCTGGAATCACCATTATCATCCATATTCACAGCTTTGTACATGATACTGGTCATCTCGTTAATACGTTCAGCTTGCTGACGAATTAGCTTAAAAGTATAATAAAAAGCCTAATAAGATAACTGTTTTTTGTCAAATGCAATAAGTAAAAACATTTGAATGAGTACAAGTCTCTATTTTCTAATGTTGTAATGAATAATGCAGTAAGACCATATTTTATTTTCTTGTTTATTAAAACATTCACTTCTCTGCCATTTTATACTAGCTAATGATTTTGAGAACCTCATGCCCGGTTTCATCAACGTCCCCTAAATGAAGGGAACCCCTAAACCTGGTTAGGTGACCCCTAACTACGTTATTGCGTTTCACCAACGCTTTGGGGCCCCCTACGACGGTTTTAATGCCCGGTTTCACCAACGTCCCCTAAGTTATGGGGACCCCTAAACCTGGTTAGGTGACCCCTAACTACGTTATTGCGTTTCACCAACGCTTAGGGGTCACCTACGGTTCTAAAAGGACTTTTAAGTTTAGGGGACCGAATATTCAGCCCATAACGTTATGTGACAGTTTATAAGAGCGTTTTATTGTGAGATAGTATTCACGCAGAGTTAAAATACTTGGTATAGAGTTTAGAGAATAGATGCCGAATTATTTGATTTCATAGAAAGTTTAGAAATTTCCGATTTATTATCAGAAAATAAATTATTTAAGCGACAGCGTATAATACGTTAACGACCGGATTATTTCGATAAATACGACAACGAGGACTTTTTTGGACGATATAGATTATCAAAAAATAGTGTTTTATTTATATTACAGAAAATAGAAATATATTTAGAGTTTAATGACAATAGGTAAGTGTTTTAGTGTTTTAAAACACTCAAATGTATTCATAAAGATTCATATTAACAAATTCGTAATAGAGAAAGGTTCCTACAAATACAATAGTATTGAAAGTCATACACAAAAATGGTTTTTAGCTGAACAGATGGACTACATCTGTGCATTGTTTAGTACTCTGTTTGAGATTTGCTGATAACACATCTTGGATACTCAAAAAAATTAATACTTATTTAAAATCAAAAATAAACATACACCACAAAATTGATTATTGACAATAATAATATAGTGGAAAACCAAAATTATTATATTAATTAATATAACAATACAGTGAAAAGCTTCAATCGTATTCTATAAAGAATTAAAATAAAAACAGGTTAAAAGTTATGGTTGGACTTTTTGGCATGGATTTTTTTCAACATTAAAGATGTGACATCCTTAATAATGAAAAAAATCTGTCACATACATATGGGTCCCCTACTAAGGGGTCTGTTCAGTTGGTGAAACATATTTTATGTAGGGAATCATTTAGGGGTGCTTTAATTTTAAGGGACACACATTTGTGTAACAGTTTAGGGGACATTGGTGAAATCTCCTTGTGGGTATTCTCTGCTTATTTTGTAAATACAAAAGAACAAGTACAGTAAAAATAATACAAGTAGGCAGTACCAAAACACCACATAGAAGAAAGCATGTTTTATTTCTAAAATCTGTTTCTATTTCAAAGTAGCTAGACTGGGGTAGGCACTAATAACTGTAATGTGGAGTTCTGACAGTACATTTGTTTACGTGGCAGGAGTGCAACCACTGTTATCTAGCGGCTCATCCCCGAACCTTTATTGAATCTGTTATGTTGGATATACATGTATGATTACCGAGTATTTGAATATTGTACTAAGTCAAAACTCACTCAAATTTTTGAGTTGTCTCAGTTTAGATCTAGGTGTGCGATATATTGATGCTATATTATTACAAATAAAACATTGTAAAATGAATATGCTTTGGGTCACAAATCTTTTGTTACGAAATTCTCTACCAATAGTTTATAGATATAAAAACAATGTTTATATTACCTCTTGTTGTTTCTCATTTATAGCAGCTGTAAAATCTATCCTTGATTCCCATATTCTTTTCTCAGTGTGTTGGCGATATTTTGACATGATCAGCTCTAATGCTCGCCTGTGGTCCTCAAGTGCTGCACGTAATTCACCATTTTCACGTTGCACATCCCTCATCAGACGAGACTCTCTTTCTATACTAGCAATTAGTGCACCTCTTGGTCTTTCCCTTGCAGCTTCATTTAATGTTTCCACTTCTTCTTTGTACTGAAAAATTAACACAGCTAACTAAATCTAGGCAATTTCATAGGTATTTTGTATTATTAAATAAAAACAAGTGTTTCAAAGTCATTGGTTAGGATTTATAGCATATGTTAATTAACTATAAGAGTTCAAATATCAAAATAAATAAATTAAGTAGTTCTATAAAGAAACAGTAGTATCATGTATTTATTTTAGTGTCTAACACAAAATTTGACACAACAACAGAAATATTTGTTATAACAATTGTTTAAGTAACATATGCCTATCAAACAGAAAGAACAGCTTTACAGCTGTTAATAGCACTTTTACTGATTCTAATTCATTGACATATGATTAATATTGTAAGCCAATTTACCTGTTTCATAGTATGTATTTGCCTGTAAGCTGTTTGAGTCTCAGCTAATAAAGCATCCGCTTCAGTCTCCCGTTCTTTAAGACGACCTGCTAGTCTTTTTGCATCCAAAATAATTTGCTGTATGGTCAGTGACATCTGAAAAAGCCAGCAATGTAGAAAACACACAAATCAAAAGTGATTGATACTAGATACTAAATACGACTACACAAACCCTGGTTTCCAGAAAAGAGTGTAAGTTAGGTATCGTATCATCTAAGTAATTTCCCACAATGCGACGAGTTAAACACAAAATTTCATCGAAGTGTTAAACGACGCACATCAGCTGTTTCGTGATGATTAGGCATGGGCGGCCATTAGCTTTCTTTCTTCAGATCTGAGAAATCGACCAATTTCCATTTGTTCACTTGGTAATCACATCAGCACCTACAATATTTCAATGTTGAGTTTAAATAACGTACGTCAGAAAGAGAAAGAATAACTATTTCAAATTATGAAGGAAGACTTGCTAAAGTGTCTGGTTTATAACCATGCATGACCTTGAATTAGTCTATGGTCATAAGTTATATGTCATGGATTTAGTACTTATAACAGGATAAAGTACTCCCAGCTGAAAAGCGAGGGGCGACATATACAGTACGGAGGCTGTTTGTTCCTGTATAATAGAGTGACAATAACATTTTCATTATGTGAGACTTTTCATGTAATACTTTGTAAGTGATTAACAGAAATGAAAATAACACTAACTGTCTTCCCGCGACTTTTTATAACAATTACATATAAGGTAGATTATTTGCTATTTTCGCTAGCAGAGTAGATTATTTGCTATTTTCGCTAGCGAGTTACTTCATTGGTCCCTTATATTCTCACTATATGTTAATCATTATTCTTTTTATCTTTGAATATCGTTTCATATTTCCCCAATCGTCAAACGAAAAATCACAATCAATGTTGACGTCACGGAGTGCATCAAGGTGAGCTGAGGCAGAACTAAGGTGAAGGATCATAACACAACATGAAATTTCGTTTATTTTAGAAAATGCCTAACTAATATGGAATAATTTGGTAGATAAACAAAAGATTATTTATATATTTACTAGCAATTCGCCCGTTAAATAGTGCTTTTTATTTCATTTGAAGACAATGATTAAGTAAAATAAAATATCGTAATAAAGAGAAACGACTGAAAAGATAAAATTAATACACAAAAAAGATAGAAATAAACTTCAATAAAATTTGAACACCTAAAATTGATACACCAACATTTTTTTTGAGATCAGTGCTAGAAATTTAATAAAAAAATATTATGCATAATATCCGTCAAACATACAATTTCCTCCTGTTTCGTGTAATCGAATAAAAAGAAAAGTTAAATTTAAAAAAAATGAAATTTTTATAACCTACCAATATTTTTGTGAGCCTATTTAAAAAAAATACTTTTAATATAGTCCACTCAAAAAATATATCACTCGAAATAAATTATTATAATAGCATAATAGTCTTACCACGAGAAAAATGTTGGTATAGCGTCTGATTTTAATAATCGTCTCGAATAAGCAATATAAAAACTTGACGGTTCAAAGTAACAACTGCATATCACCGAATTCTTGATATTCTGTTTCAATCGTACTGATATTATTGAGCCATTTCTGTAGTATATCTTAATTTTTCGGAAGACTGTGAGTAAAAATACTTTCCTATGACCACACATTTATACACATCATCCACACTTCACATGATTTCTTGGTAAACATAGTAATAGATAGATATATATTAGATTTACAGTTTTTTTTTTTTTACCTCCACCCACCACCATAAGATTCGCTTGGACCACCGTGCGATTCGTTTGAACAAGCACAAACGCAACACTTTTTTACGATTTTATATACTTATGAAGCTACTGTATTAAAAATGCGAATATTGCGATTATTGATTATTGTGAAAAGAAATTAATGTTAATAAATAATAATAACTTACATTTTTAAAATAATAACCATTAAAATACAAATGTTTGCACTAAGGTTTTCTGATTGAAAATTTTAATCAACAATATTTTCTGTCATGGCAAGATGAAAGAAAGAGACAAATAGCCTCCGTTATTACTATCACTCTCGGCTTGAATTAGCTTCTGTACAAAGAGAAATTTAAAATATGCTTTGACTGATAGTAATAAGGTTTATTTTTGCAATCACAATTATCCGGAGTTATAAATCCTGTTATAAGTACTAAATCCATGATATAAATGGACGACGCCAAAAATATAGTTGATCAAACTCCATACGAAAATATGATTTCCGAAAAACTTACTATTATTGCTTTAAAGGTTTAAAATCAAGTCAATTGACAGTTCTATATAACCTGACGTTCTGTACATACTTCAATAAAATAGAATGATAAACCTTTGCATAAGAAACATAGCCTTATTTGTTTATTATTATTATTTGTTCGAATATTAGGGTCGGTGCAAATCTTCATATCATTCAACCATGCAGTATCCGTCGCGTACTGTCGCGTATTTCCATGAATCGCTTGACTGATCTTCCGTCAGATTTGTACGGAACCTTAAAACATCTTATGAATCTTAAAGCCAATCCAAAGATGTTAGTAAAGAAGTCTATCTCTATCAATCTCATGTTAAATTCACATAACACGTTTACGTTCTGTGGGAGTGTCATGCCCGCCCGCTCCATACGCAAGTATTTAACGTATTTGTAATACATATCCTAATAAGCTATAATTCAGCATGATAATAGGTCATCATATTTGTAACAGTTTATTTATTTGATATAATTTATGAACAGTCGTACAAAGGAGAACTAAATGCTGTAGGCATTCTCTACCAGTCAACCTAAAGGTCATGTGGAGTGATGTAGACTTATTTTATATTTAATTATATTTGATAAATATGTAGACTTATTTAGTTACACGACAAACTTGAGAAACACTTTGTCCAAACCCAATGTCACTTTTTCCGACCGAGAGAGTGATATTGTATTTTCTGTGTTCTGTGGAATGAGTGCATGCACTCGCGAAAAGTGACATTTAGACGTAGAGAAATCGTTCTCGAGTTGCTGGCAGGCGCTAAATACCCAAATTTGGTTTGAGCAAAATGTTCCAGACTTCATAAAATCTGATGATTGGCCTTCGGATACTCTGGACTTAAACCCTTTGAACTGTAAATTGTGGTCTGTGCTAGAGGACATGGCCTGCTCTAAGCGTCACCTAGACATTGAGTCGCCCAAGAAATCTTCGGAGGCAGTAGTGACCAACTTTCCAATGGAAACCGTTCATAAATACATCGACAAATGGCCCTACCGTTAAAAGTGTGCATTAAAGCTAAGGGTGGATACTTTGAATAACTAGTTTAGTACGTTAACATATCATTTCACTATACATAGTCACATATAAAACTTTAAAATAAAATTATTTTTTTAGAAATCATTGAATATTTTCTTTGTAACAGTACTTGGCTAGACTAAGTATTATCTATGCCGCGGACGTACGGACGGACAGACGGAACTACGGAACCTTAAAAACGTTTATTGATTTATTTAATTTCTGTTTATGGTCTTTTATAACGTCCTTGTTTTATTTGCGTATTTAGTCAATGTTTTTTATTGTTGAAGTTTTTGTTGTCTTGAGTAATAGTCGATCAATAGTATTTAACTTAAAATTTCAAACAAGTCCGTAGAAAATAACAAATGTGTTTTTTGCACTTGTCCGGTTTTTAGTTATGGCTAGTCAGAGAGAGAGAGAGAGAGTTAGGCGGTCGCTCTGCAGGCAGAAAGTTCACTTCATTAAGTTCAAAGGAAATACGTAAATAAATTAGAAAAAAAAAGACTTTCAAATTTATTGATGAAATTAATAAATTAAAACTAACTAATTAGGTACATAAAAGCACTGCTAACCTAACAAAAATATTCAAGCAACCACTTTATAATTACACAATAACTTCAGGTTATCGTTAAAGTACTTGTTAAATTAATATAAAACAATATCCAAGTTTGTTACTATTGTAATTGTTTATTAATAATTATTTATTCTGAAGCTACATTACAAATTATTTTTTTTAAAGAATTCTCTGATCAATTTGTTCACTTTCTCTGGTTCTTCTTGTTGCATAAAATGACCACAATTCTCGATAACTTTGCACTCGATATCATCGTATTCCTTCTTCATGAGTTCTTGGATTTTTGTTCCCAAATATAAATCTTTTTCAGCATGAACCACGAGCATAGGAATATCTCCCTTACGCGACTTCTTCGGTAAGTTGTAGACAACATTAGCCCTATAGTAATTCACTGGAAAAGTGAAGGCAACTGAAACAAATAAAAAATATTTGATGCCCTTTAAACTACATAGTAAGGTCAACGAAGTATGACGGATTGTCACTTATATTCTCCTATAATACATCTATTTTGCAAAACAATGATTTAACCACATAAATATTAGTTAGCAGACTTAAAAATCTAAATAAGCTGTCGATTCAACAACACTTCTAATATTCTACATAAATGGAGCCTTAACGGTCATAAATTACAATTACCCATCTGAGAGTACGAAATTATACAATTTTTTCCATAAGCAAATTTGAAACGTTTTCATGTAAATAGAAATACGAGGGTATATTATCTCGAAAAAACACAATTATAAATCTCGCTCTTTGATTCATGGAAGTCAATTGACGCGAGTGCGAGTAAAGTACTTACATTGTTTGCCAAACCAATACTTGTAGCATTCTATATCTTCCTTAGTTACTGAGTTTTTATTGGACGTTACCATGGATTTATCAAAAATGGAGAGATTATTCAGAGACAACAGCCATTCTGCAAGGTAAGGGCACCGGAACATGAAGATATACCTGATATATAAGGACAAAACAAATTATTAAGTTGCAGACTTAGGTAACAATAAATAACAGTATATCTAAATAATAAATAGGTGTGTCTTTTTTCATTTGTAAGCGCATTTCAAAAGGACAGCAATGAAGCAAGACTGGACTGAACTATAAAACACTAACGCACAATTCAAATCAGTCATGATGTCACACCATCTTAGTCAAAAGAACTTTTAGCGCAAGTGACTCTTCCTTTGATTACGTCGGATTAGAATCAAAATCTGAATGGTAAAATAATGAAAATGATATTTTAAAGATATACAAGAACAAATGTAAGGATCATGGTTGACGATTTAGTGTTGGAGTAAGTGAATGAAATTGTATAAATTGGATGAGCTTTTAGAAAGAATGGAAGGATAAATAACATAGAAAGGAGAGGAGGAGCAAGACAGTGTAATTAAAAAAGTACCCGGAAAGCACAGCTTGTTATTAATACGACGAAACGAAACGAGAGTTGGGTTTGTCAGATAACATATAAGTGAAATGCAGG